CAGTGGGTGAAGGAAAATCTCCTTCCATCCCCTGAGGATGATGCAGCAGTCATTTACAGCCACTCAACATCAGCATCGTGACTCTCACATGGGATTTTACTCCGGTATTTCCCCTCTCCTGCTGTGTTGAAGGGGCCCTGGCTGAGTGGGACACTGGCCAGGGGCTGTCAATGAGGGGTTTGTAAAGAGGATGGCTCCAGCTCAGTGCCTCAGCCCTAAACAAACAGCAGTGTGTGAACATCCTCCTGGAGCAGAAGGTCAAGATGAGAGCAGGCAGAAATGAGGAACCCCAGAGTACTGACACAGAAGTCTGTCACAGGAGGACCCGTGATGTTTATCCCAATTAAAGTAAGTGCCAGTTGGAAGGTGAAACCAGAAAGGAAGTAGAGCAATTCAGACACAAAACAGTGCAACACAGTGAAATGAGGAATCACTCTGCCTAAAATGTGGAGAGCCCTGCAGAGAGCCCTTCCCACACCCTCCAGCCAGGGACCAGGTGCTGAGGTGCTCCAGAAGCCCGGGGGTGTTGGATTCCACAAACCTGGGGTTTTTGACCTTTCTGTGCTTTCAGGCACTGACCCTCTGGAGAACACTGATTTTGACCTAAGGCCTTGGAGACGGCTTCCAAATTTGAGTGATGAAGTTAAAATCACGGGTGTGTAGTTAAATAGAAGTGTGCGCTTTAACATGGTGATGAGGTTTAAATTTGAGGTTTTTATATTACAGTAATAGGTATGAGACAACATGGAAGATTTTACGTGTTATCTCTTTCTTTGTTCATCTTTCTTCTTATTCCTTCTTCTTCATAGATTTCAGATAGTAGTTTCTAGTTAGTCAGTGTCACTCTAAAGGTCACGAGGATCTAGTTATTGGGTCAAAAGTATAAATAATATAAGTATTAATTCGCTATTAAACTGTTTAGCTTTAAAAGACCTTGTAACAGTTGCATTTCAAGCCATTTTTCCTCGCTTCTAGTAAGTAGCTAGGAGTGCTGTCGAACGCGCTGTACTTTCTAATAAGATTTAATAAACAACCCAGCCCAAACACGAGAAAAACTGTTTCCATCATGTTTCTCTTAATCCTAGTTCTGAGTGAAAGCAAACGAGACTAAAACAAACCACTAATTAGGTGATGCAAAGCCCCCGCACAGCAGGAACACGGGGGGAATGGATAAACACAGCCCCCTGCGCAGGGCAGGCTCTGCTCCGAGCCAGCATCTCTGAGCGGTTTGCCGGACCCTGCAAGCCAAGACCTCTCTCTCTTTTGGCAGAAAGAAGCACAAGGCGAGGCTGCTCCGTGAGAGAAGCAGCATTGCTGGGACGCTTCTCAGGAATCCCTCTGATGCTCCCTGACAAGAGCGCATCAATTTGCCTTTCGGTGTGTGCTGCACGCAGGGCTGGGGCGAGCACCCTCGCGTGGCTCAGTGGCCGCATCAGCGAGCAGAGCGTGTCAGAGCCCCGGCAGCGCCGCCGGGATGTGCTGTGGGCACGGCACAGGGGATGGGACGAGATGAGCTGAGCTGACACCTGAGCCCCTGCAGCCCCTGGGCAGCGCTCCCAGACCCTGCCCAGCAGCAAGGCGACACTGCCCGACGCCATCAGGTGATGCTTTTCCTCTAGTTCTGCAAGATTATCAATCCGGGTTTACTCTCTGGCGTTGGTCCTAACAAAACGCCTCAAAGCCTTCCTGAGACAGGCAGTAATTGAATTAACCAGTGCATGCATCTCCTTGGTTCAGGGCCCAGCAAGAACAGATCTTCCCCAGTTCTCATCCCACTGTATCACCCACCACCACAGCTGAGCCTTCCCAGAGTCCTGTCTTCTCTGGACTTCAATGATGTTTCCAATCCCCTACTCTGTTATTTAATCTAGGTTCTTTTAAAATAATCAAGTCATTTCAGTTTGTTCTTCACAAGCAGATTTAACAAGTTTGGTGAAATTTTCCTTAGGAGATAAGACTGAGTATAATGATGTAGCTCCTTTAATGCTGGCTGATTGAGCAGGCACTGTCTGATCTCTCCTTTCTGCTGCCATCTCAGATAACCAAGATAAGTCCAGATCATTCCCAGATCTTCTGATTTAGCAAAGCCAGTAAAAGTGGCAAAACATACTTGCTGAATTTGTGGTGGTGGAAGATTTGCTCTGGGCTCCACTTGAGGCTGGACTTAGCCAGAAAGGCATGAGGCAGGGGTTATTTAATGCAAAGAAATTAAGAATCCATACTCGGTGGATTCAGAGGATGAAATTCTGATCCCTTCCTAGCTCATGGGAAACGAATGACTTCAGCAAGGCTCCAGTTTCCCCTAGATGTGTCGTACAGGCAATCCAGAGAGATGCTACAGTAGTTAATGGGGTTGGCAGCAGAGAACAAGCAGGAGCAGGAGGACAGTGAAGCAGGAACTCCTGAGCTGGATTTAAATCTTCCACTGTTAGAGCTGTACTTCTCAAGGCAAATACACAAGTAATTAAGCTACCACAGATACAGTCTGTGAGCAAACACACCAAATAATGGATCTAAATTGCAGGTTCATTTGGAATCACTCCTGCCTTTTACAGGTCATTTCCTCTGATTTCATTGCTCTGCATTGATTTCAACTGGTCAGCACTTGCCTGGGGCTATAAACTGCTCACTGGCTGCCAGTGAAACCTCTGCTGGGTCTGGGGGAGGCTGGTAAAGCAAATGGTTTGCTTTGGGTGGTGGGGAAATGCATTCCTTGGTGTCTGAAGGGAGGCAGTGATGCAGGTGTTGGGCTGCTGGGCTCTGATAAAGCTGCTGCTATCACTCATCTGCTATGGGTTAGGTCCTCCAGCATGAGAAAGTGGGATAAAGCCCTTGGAGCAGGGCCACGGCATGCTGGTGCCTGTGTTTTGCCAGAAATCTGTGTTATCTCATTAAGCTGCATTACATTTGGAGATATCATGATAGACAGGAAAACAATCTTCCTCCTGAGTGAGGTTAAACCTGCAGGGCCGAGTGTGTCTGGTGCAACACCAGTGCCTGCAGAGGGAATGGACAGCTTGGCTCTGTGAGGCTCCTCAGCCAGCAGCATCTCCTCTCCTTTGTGTTCAGGGTAGTGAACAAATGTGGCTCGAGCTAAAAAGTCAGAGAATGCTCTGAGCCCCAGAGCTTCTCCTCCAGCAGGGACCTGCCAGAAATTCCCATCCAGGGATAAGCAGACCTGAAGCCTCAGACCCAGTGAGATGTTGGAGGCTTACTGTCCTGTACACTCCCACCTTCCAGTTGAGGTTTGTCTGAGCACCTGCACAGTTTGGGTGCCCAGGGCAGAGCTGTGCAGTCCCTGCAGCAGATCTGGGTCTGTGGGGCCCAGCAGACAGCTTGGGTCAGGCAGTACCACCCTTCTGGGCCAGGAGAAGGCTGAGCATGCACTCAGGGTGGTGGCATGAAATCTCCATCCTCAATGGGCCATGACAGCACTGGGACATCCACGGCAGGGATTGTGCTGATGTCCATGAGAGTTTAGGAGTTTTGACAAGTTCTTGGTGTGTTTAAGAGTTGCCCTAACATTGTTGAAGCTCCCCCTGAGGTTTGCTGCTCTCTATTTCTTGGCCTTGCCTGCTGTGGGGTGTGTGCACTATGTTGAACCACTTGTTAATTTTCTGATCCCGACACCAGGGCTTGTGATGTCATTTATTTTTGTGCATTTATTTTTTTTGCCTTCCAGGGCATGAGGCCATGGTTTGGCTGCAGGATGGTCTGGGTTGGGTCGGGCTTTTTGGCCTCAGGCAAGCCTGAACCACACTGTCCCTATTGGTTTTAAAATTTTTTTCTGGCTGTTGTTTCTGAGTCCAACCATCTGACCCAGCAGAACCATCTCTGCAGTCAGAGGAAATAATGGACATATTATTATTAGATATAATTAGCAATGTCAGGCCCAGGCAGTCAAACAGCAATGGACGGGTGCAGATGGCTCTTGGAAACATGGTCTGTTCCTCTGGCTTGAGGCCATCTGCTGATCTGGAAGGAGGGAATTGGAGACTGAATCGAGTCTCTCTTAAATAAACTTCTGAGTAAAGATTAATTTATTTCCAGTGCAATCGACAACATCAGTTTACTCTAAAGGGAGTCATAAATAAAAGGATCCCAATGGGATATTGACTGTAACCTTCAGGTCTAGGCACAGCTTCATCTTGTTTCTAATAACATTTTTTTTTTTTACTCTAAGCAAGGTCCTAACTGGGCTCTGTTAATGTGGTGAACCTGCCGGGGTAAACCAGGCTCAGCACCAGTTTGGTAGAGAAGCTGAAATGGCCTGGCTTGCACGATCTGCCGCCCCTCCCTGGGGTGACAGACCGGTGACCGTGCCGATGTGCTTCACCCCCGCCCGTGGGCTCTGCGGGCTGGTGTGACCGGAGAGGTGTCAGCCAGAGCTGCCTCGGTGCGGGCATCAGGCTCCTTAAATGACATCGAGCCTGCAGTGGATCCGGGCTGGAGCAGCGCAGCGGACCCGGCTCCGTGCCCTCAGCTCGGCACTGACGGGAGCTGGCACCCAAAATCTCTGTGCCAGGGCTGGCCGTGCCCCGGGGCGCCTCTCGAACCGGAGGGAAGAGGGGCAGCGGTTCCCGGCGGTGACAGCAGGGACCCCCGGGCTCTGCGGAGTCGGGGAGGGTCTGTCACGGTGGACAGAGGTGGGGAGGGACCCGCGGCTGTGCGGAGAGCCCGGCGGGCTCTGCCGGAGTGGGGGACGCTCCCGCCGCTCCCCGCCCCCGGGCGGGACCGGCCTCTCCCCGCTGTCCCCGCCGGAACCCTGCGAGTGGCGGCAGCGAGCACCGGGCAGCGCAGGACAGCCGTGCCCGAGCGGGCCGGGCTGTGCCGGGCCGGGCTGTGCCGAGCCGGGCGGAGCGGGCGCTGCGGGGCCGAACCGGGCCGGGCGGTGCCGGCGGGGCGGGCGCTGCCCGCGGTGCTGAGCGGGACGAGCGCTGTCCGCGGTGCTTCAGGGGCCTGGCCCGGGCACCTGCGGGCACCCCCGAGCCCCCCCGGCCATGGGGGGGGACGGCTACAACGAGGCGCTGCTGCACAAGGTAGGGATGGGGATGCGGGCTGCAGTGCGGGGAGACGGTGCGGGGCTCCTGCTTGAACTTCCCGACAAATTTCGTCCCTCTGCCTTTCCTCACTCCTGGTCTCCCGGTGGGGTCCGTCTGTCACCCCCATCCCGGTGCGGTGGCAGCTCTCTCTCCCCCCGGTGGGGATGGGCAGCCCGCAGGGGTTGGCCCCGCTCCCAGCCACATCCCGGCTGGTGGTAGCAGGGGGATGGCAGGATTCGGCGTGTTTGGGAAACCGGGACTGCTGGAAGCGGGCCAGCCCCGCGGCACAGCCCGCAGCCGCCCTTCAGCCGCTCCCGCTGTCCTGTACAGGCTCAGGGCGGGTCTGCGAGCAGCTGAACCCCGGGGCTCTGTTTGCCAGAAGAAGATTAACTAGCCGGGACTTCCCTGCCATGAAATAGCCGTGTCCCAGAGACGTCCATTCCTGTCCTTGCTGCTTTGAAATCTGAAATCCTCTTTTGCGGTGTTCCTGGCACTGTTTTGTAACTGCAGTTGCACGGAGGATGCCCAAGGCTGGTGCTGTCCCTGTAAGACGTGGGGAGCTCAGCCTTTGCTGCGGGGACAGCAGCAGCAGCAGGGGCTTTCTGCTCTCTGCAGTCAGGCGCTGCCCTGCAGCTCCTGAGCGATGGAGGAATGCTGATTTATGATAGATCCACGCATCACTCCCTCCTGCTGTCCTCACACTGCTTTCCTGCAGTCCCCAGTGACTGTGCAGGAACTGGCACCCTCGGGAAAAGCAGGGATGTGGCAAGACAAGGGAAGGGCTGGGGTTCTGTGGATCCCTCTTCACAAATCCCAGTCTGTTCTGTATCCTGCCTGTACTCAGGGCAAGGTGCCCAGTCCTTGATTAGCAGAAAAATATAAGTTACTAGCAGTGCTCATTTCTGTTGTACATGGAATACATAGAACATGCCCCCAGGGATGACTTAAGAAACTTTGATTCTTTGCAAAGCCTTAACTCTCTCTTCTCCAGGAAGGAGCTGCAGCAGTTAAGGAATGAAATTGGTGGAAATGAGGCTCTGGGGAGAAGACCTGCCCTGGCAAATCACCATCTCAGTCCCATGTTCCCTGCTGTTTCCCTTGGTATTTTTCTGCCTCTCATGGCTGGGCTGCTTGTCTTGCAGAAACAAGGCTGCTCTCACTCCAGGGAAGTGAGGCAGCAAATACCTCACTAGATCTTGTGTCTGAGCAAGCAATCACATTTCAGATGTGCTGAAAAACCCCAAGAGAGCTTTGCAGTCTGGAGACAAGGATTAAATGATTTCTGGTTGGTCCCAGGCCTGGGGAGGAAATGGGCCAGGAGCTAACCAAAGCAGGAACAGCAGAGGTTTATTCTGGGCTGTTCCAGAAAAGTTTTGTTTGGTACAAAATGATGAATTCTGCTCTCTGGTGGTTTGACCCTTTGCCAAATCTTTCTTCCTCCTGTGTGATTCCTGGATCTGTTCAGCTGGAACAAGACCCAAAGGCAGAGGGATGTGTTCCTTGGCTGTGGTTGATCCAAGGTGTTAACAGGGGGTTGCAAACAGGGATCTGCTGCATGATGTGAGCCAGGTTTTGTTTGATGCACAGCCCTAGAGCCCATGTCTGTAAGGCTGAGATGCAGCCTCTGCCAAGGCAAGGGCCCAGCCAGGCTGGCAGAGGGCTCCAGGCTCTCTCTCAAGCCAGTGCACGTGTCCTGGCCACGGTGAAATAGTGCTGGACAGGTGGGGACAGCCCTGTACTGTCCCTGAGGCACATAGCAGCTTCCAGCAGCATCCAGCTCCACCCCTGGAGTACTGCTTGGAGCAGGGGGGAGGCAGCACAATTTTGTATAAAGAGCAGTTTAAAAAAAGTCTCAGAGACTGAGAGTCAGCCTGAGAGGCCATGAGAGTGGGATGGTGAGGGGCAGGAAGCAGCCACATGTTCACCCTCAGAGCTCTCCCTGTGCCGTGGCCCAGCTGAGCTCTGCAGGCAGCTGTGCTGGGGGGCACGTACACATTTGCCACAATTTGTTGTGATACATTCTGCTCACCTGGACACAAACCTGTGGGTTCGGGGCTTCATCAGCTCCCTGAGAGCAGCACCAGAGCCTGTGGAGGGCAATTCTCCCTTCCCTGCATCCCCTGACTGGGGTTTTACCCTGTCAGGCTTCCATTAGCTATATTTAGCTCAGGTCCAGGTTTTGCATGTTAAATCTCGAGAATGAACTGGGAAGACAACCTCAGCCCACACACACTGTCCCAGATCTCCTCCTGCTTGGCTGGCACTGGAATTGCAGCCATCGCCTCCCTGCACTGCCTTGACAGCCGTGCAAAACCTCTCTTCCCTTGGCAGGTTAGACCAAAATATCTCTTTTCCTTGCAAGTATGGGAAGTTTGGATTATTTTGCCTTGTCCCTGCAGCCCATGCCATGATTTTGGGCTGTTCCAGAAAAGTTTTGTTTGGTACAAAATGATGAATTCTGCTCTCAATTTTGACTGGAAGTGATCCGTCTACATTTGAATTAGCTCCAAAACTAACTCAAGGTGTAGGGAGGGATATTTGCAGACAAGTCTTTTCAGGAGGGTGTTACAAGCTGTACCTGCTTTTCTGTGGGGCTGTGGGGTGGTGGAGAAGTCAGGTTACCTCTGCCCACCCAGTGGAAATAATTTCCTTTAGCTGGAAATAAGGATTGCTTTGATTGCACTGGGGCTAAGCAGTGGTGATGTGGGACTGTCACCAAGTGAGTCTCCAGGTCTCAGGGTAAAGCTTCCCTCTGTACCTTGCCCAGCCCTGGCAAAGCACTGCTCCATCTCCACCAGGCAGAGAGGATTGACAGCACCAAACGGAATCTGCACCACTTTACTGAAGTTTCTCATTAAAAAAAAAAAAAACAACAACAAAAAAAAAAACAATCAAGCAAACAAAAAAAAAAACCCGAACGAAAAATCCCCCAAACAAACAAAACCCTGGGAAAACCTGGGGGCTGAGAAGGGGCGGGGGAGGCCAGTCTGTGGCTGAGAATGGCAGAGGAGTCAGCACAGCTGTGGAACTTTGTCACTGGGAGACTTTTTTACTATCATGACTCAGTTATGTCCAGCCTGAGGTTTCAAGGGCTAACTAGCCACATCTTTCCCACAGTGGGGTTTTTGTTCTTGTTTTTTGTTTATTTGGTAACCAGGAAGGCCACAGTGATTTCCACTGTGCTGTCCCTTCACAGAGCCTTCTCTTGGCTGATCCAGGCCAAATGTTACTGTTATTATTAAGTCATGAAGAAATTCATGAGTTGTCTCTATTATGAATCCCATTTAAATTATTAATAGAGGAATCTGCCTTTTATACACGTTCTCTATAAACCCTGGGCTCTGGGGGCTTTCTGGTGCTCATTCCAACCAGCTCTTCTCCCTCCATAATTAATGCTGTTCTCTGCATTAACTGTTCCCAAAGACAGCACTGCAGGGTGCACCCAGTCTTGTTGTACATCCCAGCATCAGTATTTTACCTGGAAATAGTATGTAACACCAAAGTATACAGCACTGAGGTGCAGGAGTCCCATGGTAATGAGTTCTTGGAGTGCTTTCCTATCCAGCTGCTCCTGGGCATATCCTTTTCTCTGCACACGGAAGAGTTCTGGGCCCTAGGGAAAAGCCAAGTGGGGTTTGGGCAGGGAAATTTCCCCCAGGAAAGGGGTGACCCAGATCCTCTGGCCCAGAGATTTCTGCCTCCCAACATTCTCCCTGATCCTGTGCAAGCTCCCAGCTCACGAGGCTGCTCTGAATGTACAAGTGACCTGCAAACAGCCCAGGCAGGGAGGAGGGAGAAATCTCTGGCTGTGGATCTGGGCACAGGCTGCTGCCTCTCAGCACACAGGTCTGTGCAGCAGCCTGCCTCTGGCAGAGGTGCAGGGCTCCCTCCTGCCAACAGCTCTGCTCAGCAGGTCAGGCTTTTCCCAGGACAGGTTCAGTGTTCGGGATGTGTTTTCCAAGGGAAAGTGCTGATTCACTGAGGCAAGAATTCACCGAAGTGTATGGGCATGAACAGGCTCCAGGCAGGTTGTGGAGTGATGCTTTATGCAAGGCAGGATGCTGATTTCCTGCCAGTCCACATCCCTGTGTTATTTGTGCTCCTCAAGCTCCTTGGCTGCTGGTTTCAGCCCACTTTTTTGGAATCTGTGGGGTACAGGAGCCGTGGTTCCAGGTGCTGTAAATGCCACATGGCTTCCCAGGGTATGGAATCAGGCCTTGATCTGCTGGGGCTGTTCAGGCATTTATTAAACACATTCCTTCACACTCATCCTGTGTTTCACGAGAGGAAATGCAGTGCCTGAAGTAGTGCTAGGGTTAGTCACACTCCAGGGCACTTTGGGGCAGGACAGGGATAGGACCAGATGTGCACAGAGGCTCCTCCACATATTGGGGAGGTGCTGAAGGCCCTTCAGGGTGGAGATAAAGGACTGGGGTGTCACAGGATAGAGCAAGGCTGCTGGAACTGCACAAACACAAACCAAGCAAAGGAAATCCAGATGCAGCCAAGTGTAGCAAAGGTGGATGCAGAGAGTGGAGAGGTTTAGTCCCATCACTGGCTCATCTCTGCAGCCTCAGGAGTGACAGGGAAGCAGTAACAGAGGGGACACTGTGTTTGCCAGAACTGCAGCTTCAGGAACACCCCTGTCCTGAATGACAAAGCACAAACCACTTCTAAGCACGAAGGCTGGTAGCAGAGTGTTTATTTTAATTCGTGTCCTGCGAAAGGGTTGAAAGTTCCTAGGTTTCCTGAAAGGATGGGAATGTTTGCCAGGAGCTCTGTGAACAAAACCCAGATACCAGCAGAGGGAAGGGAGGGGTTCTGTTTGCACTGCAGGTCTCCCTTAGGTCAAGGATTCTGAGGGACACAGGCGGGAGCAGAAGGGAAGATGAGCTCCCAGGGATGCTGTGTGGGTACCAGGGCCATGGGTTGGCAGTGTGGGAGCTGCTTAAGAGGTGACAGGTGACCTGCACAGCTCCCTTGTCCCTTCTGCTCAGGGATGAGTGATCTGGGGTTTCCCATGGAGGCTGGAGAGGCAGAGGGACTCCATGACTTCAAACCCATCACTTTGCAGGAGGGAGTGCTGTGGGTTCACACCATTAAGGCAGCACAAAGCCAGCCCAGTGACCCAGCGAGGCTGTGTGGCTGTGGCAGCAGCTGTGTGCAGCAGCTGCAGGAGATGCTCTCTTTACTAAAGAGTTTTGGACTTAATCCAGTGACTCCAAAGTCCTCCCAAAGAGGTTTTCCAACAAGCCTGTGTGAACCAAGGCTGCTTCTGCCCGGTAGCTTCCCAAGCTGGGGTAGGAGCATCTCTCCTGCTCACTCTCCATGATAGGCTGTGCTTTACTTTCCCTCCCATCTCTCCTCTCTTGGACAGGGTGCAGTGGGTTTCAGGCTGAAACTCCCTTGAGACTGAAGCTCATCCCAGAGCACATTTCATTAATTACAGAGATGGAGAAAGGAGTGGAAATTCCTCTCTGGGCAAGTTGCAGATCCAAATGAGACGGAGCCGGGGCTGGGTTTGTCTTTCTTTATCCTGCTGCATTTGCTGCCACATCCCCCCAGCACACCCAGCCAAATGTCTGGCCCTCAGCTCCCCCATCACCTGCACTGATGCTTCTTTCTCTGGTCCTTGCAGACAATCCTGGTTGGAGACAGTGGCGTGGGGAAGACATCACTGCTGGTCCAGTTTGACCAGGGCAAGTTCATTCCTGGCTCCTTCTCTGCCACTGTGGGCATTGGGTTCACGGTAAGCGCCCAGTCCCTGGTCCCCGAGCTGTGCACTCACCCTTGGGGAGCAGCTTTATTTGGGGAATCAGAATCTATGTATCTGTGGAAAGCACAAAGAATTGGATACTTTGCTTTGGGTGCTGCTGGATGAAGAGTTTGGTTTGGCTGTGTGCTTCTTGACACGCTTTGAACTGCTGGGAGGGATGAAGGGTGGGTAAAGCTCCATATTCCAAAACCCTTGGTGGGGCCGTGTCTGAGTGCAGCCTTATGCTTCACACACAGTAAGCTGCATCTGGAGCTGCCCTGCTCTGCCAGGGAGATGCCAGCCTGTGTCCAGCCTGTGTCCTGCCCGAGGCCCTGGCTAAAAGTCAGGCAGATGGTGACAGTGCCTGGGAAAAGCACTCGGCTGCCATCCAGAGCTATTTGTAGAGCTGCTATGGGGTCTCAAGTGGCTCTGATGTGTGTGTCCCTTCTCCTGGGGGAGCTCAGGACAGGGACAGTGCTTGGGACCTTACTCCAGAGTCATCCCTTCAGCATTGTGACAAGGCTGGAATTCATCAAGGGGCTGGTACCCCTGGGAATGCGATTACCCACAGGAATTTTCTTTTTAATCCAAGCAAAGGAAGCAGAAAAATATGGCACCAATGGGGATGGTCTGGGGTCAAGCAGCCCAGGGACCAGCAGCCAAGGGTGCCTCTGCTGAGCTATGGGCAGGCAGAGGAGGCTCAGCCACCACCAATCTTCACCAGCTTCTGGCTGCCTCGTTTCTCCCACAGCAAACGCCAGTGTGTGGAAGTGATGCTCAGCCAGATGTTTTTCCTGCTCAGGCAACTCCATGAGCTCCAGCATGGTTTTCTATATCCTTCCAGCCCCCTTCCCATCTTGCTGCAGGGAAGCTCAGCCACTTCCAGGAGCTCCATGTGCATCCAGCCTCCAGCTCTGGGCACTTGCCTGGCCAAAGAGCACATATAAACTATAAATCCCCTGGTCTGAGCGCAGTTACAGGACTGGAAATACAGGTTCTATTTCCCGGGGGGCAGAGGAAGGCTTGGCTGGTGTAGGAGCTGGCAGCCCCAGAAGGCACGGAAGTGGACGCCATTCCAGAGGGCATCTCTGCCACTGCACCTCCTGTGGCCGTGCATGGCCTCCACCTGAAGAGCAGCGAGGGGCACAGCTCTGCACGGCACCCCTGAATCCCAGTGGTGTGAGCAGGGAGGGGCTGCCCTGAGATTAGCCCTGATGTGGGAGAGATGAGATGTTCCAGGGAAAATAGATCAGGGAGGGCTCAAGGCTCCCGTACATGAAGTGAGCCCTGTAAAGCTCAAGACCTTGGGCAGCTGTAGTGCATGGACTTGTACGGGTCTTTTACAGGGTGGGGTTTTGGGTAATACAACCTCCCTCTCCAGGGATTTGTCCCACATTCCCATGGTTGGGCTTTTCCCAAATGCAGTGTAGTATGAGCTGGGTCCCAATGGCTGGTGTGGGATGAGGGGGCTGCGAGCAGCCAGGGGGTGAGATGCAGGCACAGCTGAACCGGCTCGGCACCGCTTTGGCTTCCGGCTAACGGCTCCTGCTCCGCTTCCTCCTGGCTTCACCCAGGCTCCAGCTCAGCGCCCTGGGGCTGCAGCAGAGGGGGCGAGCCCCCACCCTGGGGTGGGAGTGGGAGCTGCTATCCCCACTGTCCCGGCGTGACACGGTGGGGTTTGGCAGCACCGGGGTGTCCATCCCCACACTCTGTTGGAACGGGACTGTTCATGTGCGGGGTGAGCAGCTCCTCCTCTCCCCACCCGTGTGTCCGGAGGATGTGCCGGGGCTCTGCCCGCCGCCCGGCGCAGCCAAGCCGCTGCAAACCCAAGCGCCGCGGGGTCCCCGCTCTGGGGACGCAGTGGGGCAGGCTTCCATCTTCAGCCTCTTCCTCCTCATCCCGTGCCCGGGCTGGGCAGGGAGGCGGCCGGGGCACGACCTCGGGGATGGCATCGCCCGGGGAGGAGGAGAAGGAGGAAGAGGAGGAGGAAGGCGGGTGGGGCCGCGGCTCCCGCTGGCCCCGCGGCTCCGGGACTCGGTGGCTCGTCTCGGACGCACCATGGGCGGCCCCGGTGGGCCAGAGGGGAGCGAGACCCCGGAGGGGAGCGGGGAACCCCCGAGGAGCAGCGGGGATCCCCCGGCGCTGCCCCGGGACCACGAACTGTGCGGCAAGGTGGGGAGCGGCCGGGGCGAGCAGGGATGGACCCTCCCAGCTCTAAGAGGGGAAGGTTTGGGTTCGCTCTCCGTCTCGGGGGGGACAAGGAGGGGTTTAGGAAGGGTCCCGGGGGCCGCCCGCTTCCTCCGCTGCTGCGATCGCGCCCAGGAAGCGGGGAAGGGGAAGGAGGCGGCAGCCCCGGCTGATCCCCCCAGCCCTTCTCTGCCCCGGGGCTCCCCCGGTGCAGCAGGTGCGGGGATTGGGGTTTTCCGTGTCCGGGGGTGGAGATGGGGGGTCCCTGCCCCGGGGGTGTCCCTGCCCGGCAGTGGCAGTAGGAGGGACCAGCTGCACGAACGGGACTTTGGGGGTTCCCGGGGGAAGAGGAGCAGGACCGAGCTCTGCCCCCTTAAAGCCCGCCAGACCTTTTCCAGGGCAAGGGGCTGCTGCCAGCCCCGCGACACAGGGCAGGGGGAGCAGGACTCCATCCATCACAGCACCCCAAGGGCTCCGAGGTGGGAGAAGCATTTGAGCCCCAGATCCAGCCCAAGATCCCCCTTCACCCACACCGCAGCATGCCGCTTGTGAATGTCTCTGTACCCCTGGCAGGCCTTGGGGCAGGGGGGAGCCCTCCTTCCTGAGAGTCCCCCTCTTCCCCAGCCCAGGCAAGGGTGGCCTCAGGAAGCACCTTCCTTATCCGAGCAGCTCAGGGGAGGCACGGGGCTGATGAACCTTTTACCCCCAAAATTTAATATACAGCCCCAGGCTGAGCCCAGCACTGATAGTGTCAGCCCTGACACCCCCTGCTGCCTCACTGAGCCGGTTCCAAAGTGGTCCTGCATGCTGCCATCTTCTCTAAACTGCTTTTATTCCTTTGCCTTTATCCTCCCCTCTCTGACTCCTTTCTGTGGAGGGGCAATTTCTGTGTTTGAGGGAGAAAACCAGTTTTCAGCTTGCTCTAGAATAAGGTGGAGGCAGAACCGAGCAGTGTTCCCAGCTCCCCACAAGTCCTGGGAAAGGATTTGACCAGCAAAGTGGTAGCAGGAAGCAGAGCATTTCCAGCTGGAAGCTTTGACATTTGCTGTGCTGTCCCTGTGGAAGGTGGCCATGGCCCGCTGTGTTCGCCTGCCCCAGAGGCAGCAGGGCTGCAGGGATTTACTTTGCAAGCTCCAGCATCCATCCATCAGGGTGGGCATGCGGGGATGGACCTTCCTGCTGAAGTCCTGCTCGCTGCTTTTTTTCTTAAGGGGCCAGATGCAGTCAGGTTAATGATTGCTGGGCAGGAACAGGTTGCTGCAGGTAGGCAGGAGGAGCACAGCATCGGGGAAGGCTGTGCCTATGGAGCCCAGAATTGCTCCCTGCCTGAGTCCAACAGTGCTGGAGTGGCTGGAGAGCCTGGGCTGATCCTGTTTGCTTAGCAGGAGGAGAAAGGCACCGTGTTTGCTTTGGTGTCTGCAGCAGGCACCGACAGGGACAGAGTCCCGGACACGCAGGGTTTGCTCAAGCCATGCATCAGCCCCTGGCTGGGCACACCCGGGGCAGGGGCAAAGCGTGGGTGGAGGTGGCTTCATGCACTTGGGAGCTGTGGCTGGTTCTCTAGGAGCCTCCTGGGCTGGGAGATGGCCAGGGGCTGGCTAGGACATATCTCTTCTTGCTGCAGTACTTGCTTTCACACCAGCTCTCTCCCTTTTTCATGGCTGGGGGCTACTCTGCTGCCCTGGAGCATCGCTAGGCTGCACCCTCAGGGGTCCCATCCCACACCCAGCTCCCACAGGGCTTCCCAGACCCATAAAGACTTGCCCTGGGAAAAGAAACGAAGGGAGAGAAGGAGCTGGGGAGGGCTCAGCACCAGTCAGGGGTGCTGCTCACTCCCTGTCCTGCTGACATCTCTCCCTGCGCCCATCTTGCAGGTGATGTTACTTGGAGACTCGGGCGTGGGGAAAACCTGCTTCCTGCTCCAGTTCAAAGACGGGGCCTTTCTCTCCGGGACATTCATAGCCACCGTGGGCATAGATTTCCGGGTGAGACCACCAGGGCTGCCAGCCTCTTGCCTCCCTCAACCCACACCTTGGCCAGGACAGGGTGCTGGGGAGGGGGAACTGGGGGTTTCCAGGCTCTGTACCCCCAGTTATCTCCCAACCAGCAGCAGGTGTTTGCTGAAACCCTTCCACCCCTAAGAGGCGCAGTAACAGACAGAAGAGCCTTCTGGTACTGTTGCCTCTTACCTTTAAACCAGCAAACAGTCCAGGTTCAGCCCATCCCAGCTGTATTCATGGGCTGGGGGTGTGTGCTGGGCAGCCAGTGTGCTCCACCATGCAGACCAAAGCCAACAGCTGGCAGGGACAAACACTGGTTGCTGTAATTTCATGCCTTGAAAAGGCTGAAGTGGGCTGCTGAGGAGTTGTTAGGGTCACCAGATCCTGGTGAGCTGCTCTCTGCTCACCGAATTTCAGCTGCAGGGTCTCTCTGAGGGTGTTGAGGGAGGCACAGCTGTTGGCAGCACAGGGCAGAGCAGGAAGGAAGTCAGGGGGGTGTCCCTGGGCAGGGCTCTGCCCGCACCACTGACACGTGCCGAGTGCGGTCACTGCTTCCTCTGCCCCCGCAGCCGCAGCTGCTCCCGTTTGCTGCCACTTCTGCTGCCTGCCTGTGTTTGGCTTTTGGTGGAACTGGCAGCTTGGTGATCAGGGGCTGGGGGAGAGAGAGGACTGTGGGTTTGGTTTGAAGGGGCCATGAGGCCTGTCCTTGTGATAAAGCCGTGAAAGAAGGAAAATCGGCTGTGTCCCACTGCTGAGCTCAATGCCAGTGTCCCCAGAGGTGTTGCCAGCCCGTAGGTATCTGCTCTGCTTCGTGCAAGCATTCCCTCCAGCAGCTCATGGCTCACTGCTCTAGGTAATCTCCAGGGTCTCCTAGGGCATGTTTTTGTTTTATCCAGCCCATTTGCTGAAATGCTGTCATCTCCACATGGGCTGAATTTCCATTTCAAACAATTCCAAGTAACCAAATTATTTATAAGGGTCTTCTCTTTGCAGACTCCAAGAATGATTCTCTAAGAGTCTTAAAATAGCTATTCAGTAGTTTTTGCTCTTCTGTTTTCTGGCCTCTGGAAAGAAGCCCCTGCGCTTCCAAGATGAGAACAGAACAACTTAAGCCTCAATAGCTGCCTTCCCAGCTCAGCTGGAAATGCCTCTTTCCTTTCCTAGTCCCAGCCCAGCCTGGCTGAAAAACCATCCTGACCCAGGAGATTTCCTCCTTCCATGCTGGATATGGCTGTGTACCTGCAACCCCTCCAGCTCAGTGTTTACTACCTCCCTTAAGAACCAAGCAAGGCTCCACCAGCAAGGAAACCTGAGCAGGACACACAGCATCATCCAGTGAGCATGCCCAAAAGCACCTAAAGCCCTTAAATTACTGCAAATAGGCTGAATTTTCAGTGTAGTAGTGGTTCTTGAGCACAGGGAGCTGAAGAGTCCCATCAGAAAGATCAGGGCTTTTTGGTGAGCAAACATAAAAGCACACCAAGGTGTTATTAACAAATGCAAATTTATGTGTGGTTCATCCATGCCTCCCCACTTCCATAGCTCTGCCAACTTCCGAGGGGCTGCTGCAATCCCAAAGCTTTCCAGCAGGAGCCAGAGCAGGTCGGTGTTCCTGGGATTTGCTGGACAGCCAGCGTTATTAACTGACTCATTAGGGGACTTGGGAGCCACAGGACAGGGACTCCGGCTGTAGGACATGAACGAGGCACTGGACCCAAGGCAGGCTGGGATCTTGCTGTCTCATCTCTGCTGATTTTGCTCTTCACCCTGACTCGAGGGGTTGCCTCTCTGGGGTGTCCCTGTAGCTGCCAAAGCAGGATCACGGTTTGTAGCAATGAGGCTTCAATCCAGGTCCAGCCCCACAGCCTGGCTTCATCCCACGGGGAGAGCAGCTCAGGGGCTGTGGAATGCCAGCTCAGCGCCAGAGCTGGCTGGCACATGCACCAGGACATGCCTTGGGCTGATAAACCTGCTCTCCTTGTCTTCTGCAGAACAAAGTGGTGGTCGTGGATGGTGTGAAGGTGAAGTTGCAGGTGAGCTTTGGGAGGGGGGAAGAAATTTCCAGATGGAAATCCACCTCAGGCTGAGCGTGCTGGTCCAGCAGGGCTGGGAGGCACAGGAGCAGACCCAGCTCGGGGAGGTTGCTCTCCCTGCTCTCATCAGGGCAGTTTCTTGGCAGATCTGGGACACTGCAGGACAGGAGCGTTTCCGCAGCGTCACCCACGCCTACTACCGGGATGCCCAAGGTGAGTTTGGGGTCCAGCAGGGATGGGGAGACCACCCAGAGCACATCCCTATAGTGTAACAATGCCTCTGCCTCTTCCTCTCCAGCTCTGCTCCTGCTCTATGATATCACCAGCAAGATGTCCTTTGACAACATCCGTGTGAGTCCCACCGTGGGCTGGGAGTGTTTCTCCCCAGGACTGGGGCCGTGGGTGCCCTGCTTGCCTGGCTGGGTGTTTGGGGCAGCTGAGAGCCTGTTTTCCCTGTAAACACTGGCTGTTCTGGCCAGACCCAGCCAGCTGGGAGCTCATCCCAGGGCACCTGGCTGGGTGCTGCATGGCTGGGTGAGTTTTGTTTAAGGACATGGTGAATGCCTGAGGGAAAAAACGTGGTTTGGGAAGGATGTGAACTACAGCTTGGGCTGCAGCCAGGAGACGGGGTGTTTTCAGAACTGCTCGCTGTGATGCTGGAATAATTCCCGTGCCAAGAAAAGTCATTATCTCTGTCCTTGTGGGGGATAGATGGGGGTGCTGAGGGGGTGTGAGGGCTGAGCGGGAAGGGAGAGGGGTACAGAGGGGTGGAAGGCTGAGATGGAGGGGAGAGGAGTACCCATCACCCCGACACAGTCCTGCTGCCCCACAGGCCTGGCTGACAGAGATCCATGAGTATGCCCAGAAGGATGTGGTCATCATGTTGCTGGGCAATAAGGTGCGTGCAGGGTCCTCGTCCACCCTGGGGTTTGCTGTGCTATGCTGCGCCCTTGCCATCCCCATGGCTGTGCAGACATGGGGCTCTGTCTGCACCCTCGGCCGGGCTCTGCTGCTTTCCGGGCTCAGCCGAGCGCAGAGGCGATGCCGGGGGTTTGGGGAGGTGGGAGAGGGCAGTGTTCCCGGGAGCCAGCGGGTGGCAGCACGAGGCTGAGGCTCCAGGGACGGGATGCTCCTCGTATGGGATGCTTTAGTATGGGATACTGATGATTATGGAATGCCCACCCAGGCCTCCATGCACCCCTGGACCCAAGCCCTAGAGGACCAACAAGGTCCCAGATTCATCTCCAGATGCTGCTTGGGTGCCCATTGCCCAAGTGGATTTCCCCCTGGGACTGAATGTCCTCTGGATCCTGGATGATGCTGGGTACTTGATGCCCAGCAGGGTCCCAGGGCCTCCCTGGGTCCTGGATGCTCTCAGTACTGCCCCAGGTCCTCAGTGTCCCCAGGTCACAGGTGTCCCCTGACATCCTCAATGCCACTAGGTCCCAGATGCTCCACAGATCCCAGATTCTCTGGGCAGTGGATTCTTCTGGATTTATGATGCCCCTTGTTCCTGTCATCCTCCTCAACACCCCACACTTCTGGTTTGCCAGATGCCCCAGGGTGCCAGCCTGGTGTGTGGTTTTCCTTTCCTTGGCAGGCTGATGTGAGCAGTGAGAGGGCTGTGAGGACAGAGGATGGAGCATCACTGGCCAGGGTGAGTTGTGCCAGGGTCTAACCTGACTTAAGCTCCCTCCAGACAATTTCATGTCACTCAGGGTTTCCATGCAGCTGTGCCATCCCCTCTGAGTGCCCAGACTTGCCTGGCTCTTGCAGGGACAGCAAAGCAGTCACGTGTATGCAAAACCTAGGACAAGGCAGGGAGGGAATGACCCTCAAGCCTTGTCCAGGCCACAGGGATGATCAGAGGGCCAGGAGGCCATCTGGGGATAGCCACTGATGGAGTCATGCTGCTCTTGCAGGAGTACGGAGTGCCTTTCATGGAGACGAGTGCCAAGACAGGCATGAACGTGGAGCTGGCCTTCCTGGCCATTGCCAAGTGAGTACCTGGGGCCAGGGGACTGAGCAAGGGAAGTGTCCCCTGCAGCCCCACCACCTCCCACGCACCAGCACAGTGTGGGAGGCGTTAACACAGCCCCACCACTCCAGGGAGCTGAAGCAGCGCGCGGTGCAGCCGCTGGATGAGCCCCGCTTCCAGATCCACGAATACATTGAGGCACAGAAGAAGAAATCCAGCTGCTGTGCCTTCTCCTGAGGGTGGCCCAGGCAGGAGGCAGAGCAGGGCCCAATCCTGCCCTCAAGCACTGGAGGGAACCAAGCTCTGACAAGCCAAGGTGGACGGGACAGTACAGTGAAGCAGAGTGCATGAGGAGGGCCCTTGCCCTAGTGCCAAGATTCAGATCCTGCTGCCCTGCAGAGCAATGACCTGTGTGCCACCGTGGGAATCACTACGGTGTGGTGACTGCCAGCCTGGCCAGCGAGCCATGGTGATCCAACACCTCCATCACATGAGCAGGGTACAGGACACAGCCACACACCTCACTGAGGGACCCTTGGAGCGGCTGGAGGGGCTGTGCCATGGATGAGCCTCCCTGCAGCCCCCAGTCCTGCCCTCCCCTGCAGCTATTCCTGCTCACAGTGCTGCTGTTGTCCAACTGGAAGGGCCCGGTCCAGCCCCTGTGTCCCTGGTGCTGCCAGGCTTTGGCTTTCCTCCAAGGAACCTCAGCTCTGCCCCACACCCCAATGCCCACGCTCAGCTGGGGCTCCTCATTTCTGCAGTTGCTGCCAATGGCTTTTATCCTCCTGCCACCACAAAGCCAATGATGTCCTCATTGTATCCCGGCTCTGCTCGAGGGAAGGGCTGGGATGGGTAAGGGTCCAGCCAAACCTGCTCCCTGCCCACACAGCTGGTGTGAGAAGTAAAATTCCCCTGGGAGCATCCGAGCAATGCTTGGGGCACTTCTGGTACACATAGCCATTCCGATAAACTTTGCTTCCCCTATGTTGTAGCCACAGAAATCAGATAATTTTTTTTTTTAAAACAAGAAAAGGCTTTTTCATTTCAATGCCTCCAGACTAAACCATCTCCAGCCTCATGCAGGCAATGCCTACAGTGGCATCACCTGGAGTGATGCTCCAGCCCTGCCACCTCCCAGGCCAGACTGGGTTTCTCTCCCATCACTGCCCATGTAATACAGCTCTGCCGTGCTGCTGCTGGCAAATAGCAGCTGGAACCCACTTCCAGGAGACCAGATGCCTGAGAGCCTTCAGCCAGCAAACACTGCTCCTTTGGGCATTGGTGGGGCTCAGGGACATCCCTGGTGCTCAGCCCAGCTCTGTTGCTCTCTCGAGCACACTGTCCACTCCCCTGAGCGCTACCCAGAGCAGTCAGATGGTGAATATTTGGTTGTGTAGCTGAAGCACTGATGCAGAGAGCAGCTGTGGAGGGTATGGCACTGCTGCACGTAGGACTCAGGGACTGTCCAGCACATCTGTCCCCATAAGCATCTTCCCTGGTCCTGTGCCTGACTGCTCATATCTCACCTGCCCCGGTGCCTCCTTCACCTCTGCTCTGCCCCTGGGTCTCTCTTTGCAAGTTTACAGATTAAAGCTGAGTATTTTTGAGGCTTTGCATCTGTCTGATTGTTTATTGCGTGAGAAATCCCTGCCCTGGGTCTGCAACGTGGGAGGCTGCAGCACACAGGCGCCGCAGAGCTGGGGGGCCCTGGGAGCAGCCATGAGGAGGGGGAAGCACCCACAGCCCCTTCCTCCCTGCTCCGGGGGGGCTTTCGTTGCACATTTCAGACAGACCAAAGGTGAGAGGGGAAGAGTAAACATGGCCTGTTAAATTAAAACCAACCTCCTCCCCTGCTGTTCTCATGGTGCGGAGTCCAGCATTCCCCAAATAACTCTGTCTTCCCACCAATGGCATTGCTGCTGCCGCTTGGCTGATGTCTGCAAAAAAAATGCTGGATGGCTTCAACACAAACAGACGTTGGCTCTTTTCTCTTTCCCCCCTCCTGCCTGAGCTCCTTTAACTTCACTCCAAGAGGCAAAGGGCAGGAGGAGGCAGCTGGGGCACGACGGTCCTGCCTGTGCCCTGCCATCCCGCAGGCACTCTTGGACCCAAAAGCAGTTTCAGCTGTTTCCTTTGCTGCTGCCTTTCTTCCTTATCATGGTCTCGTGCTCAAACCAGTCCTGCTGGAGCTGGGTTTTGTTTCCTGACTTAGATGCTCTGCATCTGCCCTTCCCAGAAGCTCACTTGTGGGGCTGTGCTGCTCACAACCCCCTTGCCAAGGGGATGGCTGTGGCAGGGGTGATAGATCCCCCCGTCCTGGGGCCGTACCACAACATGCTTGCCCTGGTTTTCCTCTCCACAGGCATTTGCTGCCGGCTGCCGTGGGATTCCTCTCCGACGCTTTTCTCAGGGCCCAGTGGCTGCGGGCGAATGCTCAGCCGAGTGGAGGAAACAAATGAGTCCCCCCTCCACTCCCAGCTGGGTCCCATGGAGCTGGAGCACGGCCACCCCGAGCACACGGGGAGTTCCTCGTTGTCTGGGGTTCCTGAGCAGGGTTTTGGGGCAGAGTGCCTTGTGAGAGACATGTCCCATGGCACGCAGCTGTCCCCTCCTTGCTCACCTGTCTGCAGCTCGGTTAAACGTGATCCTGGCTGCCCTGAGGACCTTTGCTCAGGAACTTCAGCCAGGCCTTGCACTGGGAGACACCTCTGGTACCTCTGTGCCACCCTGTCTAGGACAATCCCAGGACCAGGAGGCAGCTCTGCCTGGCACCAGCAGCCCTGGCATCGCAGGAGCAGCCAAGTCTTGTTGCTTCTTTGCTCTGCCCTGGTTGAGCCCAAACCCTAGGATCTCACATGCTCATGACCCCCTGCAGCTACCTCTGCTTCTTAGTCCATGAGCAGAGAACATGGAGCCAGGGCAGAGCAAATCCCCTGGGGTTCTGGGGTTCCCTCCATCTTCCCCACCTCGGGCCCCCAGCTCTAAGGTGCTGAGCAAGGTTCAGAGGCAGCTGGGGGAACAGGGCTGGTATCTCATTTCCACTGCAAAGCGAATTACCTGCCCTCTTCCCGGCCTGCTTTCCCACGTAGTTTCGATTTGGGGATTTTATTTAACTGTCGAAGCTTGGAGCATCCCTCCACCCATAAGTAGGAGCAGCGCTGGGACCGACTGCAGCCTTCAAGGAGTGGGCGATGGTATGGGATGGATGTTCCCTAAGAGGCCACCCGGGATGTGCCTCGGAGTGGGAACAGCTGGGAGCGTCCCGCCGATCTCCGGCCACCGTCGGGGCTGTCTCCGAGACGGCAGCAGAGCCGATGCACAGTGGGTAGAGTACAACAAGGATTGGGAATGCCGCGGTGGGCTCGGGTGGCCCCAGGAAGAGGCGGAGGTGGCTGCGGGGGGTGATCCAGCCCCAGGGAGGAGCGGTCGGACCCCAGCGGAGAGCGATCCGTTCCCGCTGCGGGCACCTCGGCCCGGCGAGGGCGCCGCGCCCAGCCCGCCCCACCGGGGCGACAAGACATTTGCATACCCACCCACCCTAATTTGCATAACCCACTTTAATATTTGCATAGACACGCCCCGTTGTGTTCCTTATTTGGCGGGCACAATCCCATCCCGCTCTCCCATTGGCGGCCGCTGGCGCCCGGCCCCGCCCCCCTATATAAGGCGTGCGGCGGGCTGGTTGCCGCGCAGTGCGCTGAGGGCGGCTGGCGGGACGGACCGGCTGCTGCTCCCGCCGACTCCCCCGCCATGAGCAGCGGCGCGGGCCCCGCCGCCCGTCTGTGCCGCCTGGAGCGCGGCCCGGACGGGTACGGCTTCCACCTGCACGGCGAGAAGGGCAAGCCGGGCCAGTTCATCCGGCTAGTAGAGGCGGGATCGCCGGCCGAGCGGTCGGGGCTGCGCGCTGGGGACCGGCTGCTGGAGGTGAATGGCGAGAACGTGGAGCGGGAGAGCCATCAGCAGGTGGTGGAGCGGATCCGCGCCGCCGCCGGTACCGTCAGCCTCCTCGTCGTAGACTCGACGGCCGAGGATCAGCTGCCGAAGCGGGACGGGGCGAATGCTGAGCCGCCGGTGGTCAGAGAGCAGGCGGCCCCGGTGCCGGCGGAGCCCCCGGCGCGGGAGCCCAGCGGTGGCGAACAGCGGGTAAATGAGTGGCCGGGGCATTGGGGCACGGAAGTTTTCGGTGCACAGGGTGTTGTCCGAGGAGGAGGGATCACCACTGGCCGCGGTCGTCGCCTTCCAGGCGAGCAGTAGCCGCGGCCGCCGCGTCTGCCATGGGCGTCGTGTGTGGTTTCGGTCTCGATTGTTTCTTTTTTTTGCTTTGCTTTAAACGCGGCTCCCCAAAAGCCCCGGGTCCTGCCGCGCCTGACTGCTTTGCCTTTTTTATTTTAAATTATTTTCTTCTCCTTAATGGTCCCATCTCCCAGCCGTGTCAGTGGCACACCGGGCTGGTTGGACCCATAACTGAACCCGGTGGGTCCCGGAGCTCTTCGGCCCGTCCTTGTGCTAACACGGGGTGAGAAACGCAACAGGGCGAGCTTTAACGTGCAGCTGAGCCCAGGGCTGGGCTGAGAGCAGCTGGCACTAACCCACTCCAAAATACAACAAAAAACCCGTGGCAGAAGGTGGTTTTTGTGGCTGAGACTGCAGGTATTGGTGGTAGTCACTCCTGCTTTGAGTGTGTTCAGTGTCTATTTTGGAGTGGGGATAGCAGAGCCCTTCCCGGGCTGGAGGCTCGATCATGGCACTCAGTTCCCACAGACACTTCCCCTAACTCAGGAATGTCGACCTTAAGCACGCGTGGAAGCGAGCAGTTGCACAAACAAAGTGATGTAGAAAGGTGAGGAATTGAGAAACAGCTGACCTTTCATGCCCCAAGTGGTTCCTAAGAGACGCTCTGGGAGATAATAATGCTTTTTATTTACCCAGCAAAGCCGTGTTTGTTGTTACAACAGACACGTGGATGGCTCCCTGGGCAGCAGCCTCTTGGTGTCCCCAGTGTAAAGAACCTTCTGGGGAAATCTTTTGATTCTCAGAGAGGTTGGTGCAGTGGAGCCTTCTGAGTGTTGATGCTGAGCTCCAGGACGACCGTGGTGTCTCACTCAGCTGCTGTCACATATGGTTTTGCTGAGGATTAGGTGGTTTTGAGCTGTGTCTTCTGTTGGACTTAAGCCTTGTGCTTATTCCCCTGGTTGGGCTGATCTACTGCAGGCACAGATCTCATCCCTGCCTAGGTAAAACATCACTCCAGCACCTCCTTGATGGGCTTATTTGGGTGGGAACAGCCATGCTCTATCCCTGTGCTGACTCTCTTGCTCACTGTCCCCTGTACCATCCCACGTCCCTCGCGTGTGGCCCCGTGCTGGGCTCTGGTGCTGCCCCATGCAGGGACAACGTGCCTGCTCTCCCATATGTCACAGTGCCAGTGCTCCCTCAGGGCTGGTGAGACTGTCTGTGCTCTGCTTTCTGCTGCCAGACCTCTCCGTGAGCTGGGAAAAATAAAAGGGATGTTGTTAATGCAGCTCAGGTGAGTCCCCTGCCAGGCTTGGGAGCTGAGAATGTGCAGTTCCCGAAGAGGATGGAGCCCTCTCGTGCCGTGGGACTGCTGCCTGCTCACTGTGTTGGCTGGAGTGATGGAAAGAACTTAGGAAGCTGGAGATGCCCCACAAGATTTTGTGAGACAGTCCTAGCCGGAGATATTCGTGGGCTTTGGGGGACAGTCTTGGCTGAAGATTCCCAGAGTCTTTGGGAAGCAAGCTGGGGGCACAGCTCATGCACAGTTAGTACTGGCGGTTTCTCTGCTAGTGGTTTCTCTCCTTACTAGAGCAGGAAGTGGGCGACATGGGGTGACATTGCCACAAGGCCCCAGACGGTTTCTCAACAGGTAGCAACAGAAAATCTTGCGGTTGGGGGGCAGGGCCCAGTGGAAAAGGCGAGTGGATTTAGAGACATCGCCCAGCCAGGCACCCACCGAGCAAGGTGGGAATATGCTGGGCAGGATGCCGAGCCAAGCCGGAGCAGGCAGAAAGGGATTTCTTTCCAGTGAGGCAGGAACACACTGGTGGCCTGCTCCTGGCCACTGGCAGGCAACTGGTGCTGGCTGCTCCATCCCCCCACAGCCCCATCCCTTCATTGTGGATTGGTGGGATTCCCTGAGATCACAGGAGAAGTGGGAGATTTGCACGTCAGAGTCCTGTTTGCTTTGTTGGGTTGGACTTGCCTTTATTTGTTTAACAAGCCTGGAGATGCTCAAGAGCTGGGAGAACTGCTTTTGGTGAGCAATGTTTAGTTAGCATCTGCCACCTTCCAGCAGAATCCATTCTCTCCATGTGCTGGGTCCCGCATGACTGGGACTGTCAGGGGCCTCGGACACCTCCACAGATCCCTGAGGCAGTTTTGGGAGACTCGCCGTAGGCTCCTTTTTCATTCCTATCAAGCCTTGAGTGTGCAAATCCCCCTGATGCTGTGATGGAGGTTTTGAGCCTCCCCGGGGAGCTGACCCATGCACCCTTGTCTGTGGTGCTGAGCCAGCACGGTGACAGTTTCACACACCTCAGTTCAGCCCCATTTCCTGGGGCCCTGTGCTATGGGGGTGTCCCCCCACGTTTGTTTCTGG